CATCACTTCATGAGTTCTGGAAATTTTTTGTTAGTTTTAACTGTGGTGAGGGCCTTACCTTTGTGTTGCTGGTAATTTGCACTGACTGGGGGCCGATTATATTGTATATAAAGGTAAAGTCTTCTGAAGATAGCTGAATGTTTACATTACCCATACTTAATATGTATATTTGAACATCTTACATGTGTTATTTTATTCATCTTAGCATTATGTTTACAAACAAGCTGAGTCCCAAGGAGATAAATTTAAGCCTTTGTGATTGTTAAGTCTTTACTTTGATGTCTGACAGGCTGTCTGGCAAGTCATATAAATAAATTTTTATTATGCAGACAAGGCAAAATGTTAAGCCATCATTAAACAGTTTTCAACTACTGTACCCTTAAGACAGAATAGTACTTTCCTTAGTTCAGTCTTTGTTATAATTTTGTGTTCTCCTTATTTAGTGCAGTTTGGATAATTAGAAAATATTAAGTTGTTACATTTCAAAAGTAAACATCGTCTCAGGGACTTTCGGACTTTGCATGTTGCTCCTATAGAGCTTGATTGCATGCTTTAAAATGATGAAAATTATTCTATATCTTGATTGTTTTGGTGCTTACATGACTATACATTTATCAAAACTCATTAAAAGGTTGATTTTATTGTATATAAATCAACCTGCCTTCAAAGAAAAAGTTAAAGCAAGTTTTCAACATCAGAAATTCTCTTCACAGATTAAGGGTAAAGAATACTCTAGGAGGTAGATCAGATGACTCCAAAGTCTTTGAACCATTATTTTTTATCATGAAGAAATTTTATCTATTAATAATTAATACTTTTTTCATTATCGAGATCTTGTGCCTCTACCAATATACCATCTTCTTGTCCCAAGAGCAGGACCTATTTTGATCTACTCAAGTCACCCTTTATGTTATCTGAGTATCATTATTATCTTCATGTATATCTATATAGTTTGTATTAGTTTTATTCTTAGTATATACTCTGTATTATATTTATTTTTATATAATGTATTGATTATATGTTTTTTACATATTATATATTGATTATAATATATCGGTTACCCTTTAAATCTCTTGTTGATAGCAATTTTTCAGTTGATTCCTTTGGCCCAAGTATAAAATAATATCTGTGTGTAATGCTCATTTGCCTCCTTCCTTCTCTTTCTAATACCATCAGATACTACTTCCAGCACAATGTTAAATAAAAGTGAAGATGGTGGGCATTCTTATCTTACTCCTGACATTGATGAGAATGCTTTTATTTCATCATTAAGCATGATATTTTTATGTTTTGGGTTTTTAGATAGCCAGTTTCTGTGTGTATTAAGTGAATACCAGTAAATTTCTACTTTATTTAAGGATTTTTTTAAGCAGTAGACTTTGAATTTTATCAACTATCATTCCAGATCCTATAGAGATAATATGATTTTTCTATTAATACCAATAATTATATTGACTTCCTAAAATATAAAGCCATTATTGCATATCTGAATTGCACCTGGTCACTTTGGTTTATATGGTAACATTTTTTTTATTTAGAATTTTCACACTATTTTCACAAGTCAGTCAATCTACTTTTCTTTTAGTCTTTCTTTGTTAGGACTTTATATCAGTGTGAACCTAGCTCTCTAAAAAGAATTTGGAAGCTTTCTCTATGCTCTAGAATATTAAATAGTATTGATAATACACCTGTTCTTTGAATGTTTGGAAAAATATACCTGTACCTGGTAATAAACCTAAATAATCGTAAATCTCTTTTAAAATAGAATTGTGTATATTGCTTTCTTGGTCAAGTATATTCTAACTCTTCTAAAATTGTTCATTTTAGACTAAATTCCTCTTTGTTTTTATCGAGCAGTTATTCTTAATACACATAGGGAGTGTCATGTGTGAAATTTTTTATATGAAATACTTTCCTTTTTGAGAGTAATTTACTAACTTGGCATCTGCCTACTTGTGATTAGTTATGATTTTTAATGATTTGATAGGGACTAAACTTTAGTGATCATACACCTTTAATCCACTATTCAAATTGGAGAGGAGGGAAATGCTTCATTTAATCTCTTTATTAAAAAAGACTCTCAGTAAGATCTTGTACCACCTAATATTTTTGTTAGACTAAAGTTTAATAATAAATGTCTTTATTAAAAAAGTCTAAGCAGATGATAATGAACTCTAGAAATATAAAAATCATTGGGATTTTTATTTTCGGTGGGCAAAGGAGTGTTTGATGTCTTACTTGGTAGAGTATTCCTTATCAAGTATAGGAGAACTAGATTGATCATTTGTTAGAAAATTTCTTAAAGTTTAAAATGGAGAACTTAGAGTTGGGATTTGAGATATGTGATCTAAAGTGCGTTGACCCACTTCCTGTATGTGATAAGCTGACTAAATGACCCGACAAGATACCCGTGTCTTAATCCCCAGAATCTGAATGTTACCTTCTAAGGTAGAAGGGACTCTGCAGGTGTGATTAAATAAATTAAGGATTTTGAGATGGGATGATTATTTTGGATTGTCTGTCTGGGCCTTAAATGTAATCACAAGTGTCCTTAAAAGAAGGAGATGGAGGTTTGACTACTGTGTTTTTGTTGCACTTAGCATGAAAAATGGAATTTTCTTATTTATGTATGTATTTGTCTGAAGTTCCTGGTAGGTGGGGGCTTTGAGTTATTTATAATCAAAACAGCATATAGACTAGGGGTTGGAAGCTAAGCTATGGAATGCAAAGGTTTTGAAATGCAGGGAGAGGAGTATATCTTTGGAGGGAGCTTCTTTTCCTAGAGAGCCTCTTGAAAGTATGGAATGTTCAGCTCATAATTATTAGAGAATAATTAATTGCACTTTGGAAAAATGTCTTTGGGACCCTCTGCCTTTTCTAAGTCACAGACTACATTTTAAATTGTTCTGTAAGGGAAGGTGTTTTTAGCCCAGTTGATGTGACTGATAAATGTTTTGCTTTTAAAATGAGCATACACACAATTTTTAGGGTATTAATTGATATGGTAATAGCTTGAGCACATGTAGTACTTACTATTTAGAAATAAAACAGCAGTTACATAGCCATGAAATGATTACAGCTGCCAAATAAGGATCATAATAGTGACAAGTCATTTTCTAGTTTATTTAGGTACACCAGCAACAGAATACTCCATAAACTTGCTTAGACTTGGTATCTTTCAGACTTTTAGTTACTTATCTGAAGTATACTATTTTCACTATTTCTGAGCAGTGATAGTCATTCAAAATCTCATGATCATGTCCTTGGTACCCAGGAAAAAGACTCAATCCTTGTTTGTTGAGTTGACTTGAACTAGCCTCCAATTATGGATTCCTTACCATATGTTTCACAGTTCAAGCTGCTTCTGCTAAAATGTTTATGATATAGTAAGAACGAGATCAAAAATTGCATATACAGTGAGATCTGTTATGCTCCATAGAGATTAAAAGCAGCCTCAAAAGAAGTATGTTAACATGTTTATATTATTAAATGGATTGCAAGATGTTGGAGGTCTGTTTCTTAATACTTTTCTGTATTGGGCAAAAAGGCATATGGACATGATTTCTGGGTCCGGCCTAAAGCAGTGCCCAGCTCTCGAGTGCCCTATACAGATAGCGTGTGAGGCACAGACACCAGACAGACGGTCCTTGCCCAAACTTGTGATTGAGTTTCTAGTTGCAAAAGCTGCTTTACCCACTATTATAGTCTAAAGCATTTCTGAAGGTTAAGTTAGACTTCGAACATTTGTTTATTTGTTCAGTGAACACATGAACTGAATGGCTGATTTTGCCAAGTCATGTTACTTACATTAAGCATAAAGTAAACCAAACAGATGTAGCCCCTGCACTACAGATATTTCTGGTATATTAGAGAAGAAGACCCATATCAAACAACACTCAAGCAATTTCTACTTAATAATGATTATGAAGGAAAAGTATCAAATACTATAATGAGCCACAGGGGAGGGGAGAGTTTCGGGTAAGGCTGAGACCCAAAAAAACGAGAGGAGTTAGCCAGCTATAATAAGAATATGCTGAATGGAGGAAACTGCATGGCAAAGGCCAAGAGGTGGAGAAGAGCATATGAAGAGCTGAAGGAGACCAGTGTGGTCTGTTACAGCTGAGCTGGGAGAGATTGGCACAAAATAGGGAGGTAGGCATGATGGAGTGTAGTCCTGTAAGCTACAACTTGGGGAGGCTGTATCTGTAACCGAAACAAATCAAAGAGATTCTGAGAAAGAAGGGTAAAATCCACCCGAATCCTCTAATGACAGAAAGTCCTTGCTCGAGCCTCCACACAGACTCAGTGTTTGTTGTGACCTCATGGCCTCTTTTTCTAATGCCTGGTACCATGGCAAAAGGAAACTGGGTGCATTTAGTGTACCTTACCACTACAGCTTCTGGAGGAACCTGGTACACATATGTTTGTGTCATAGGATACTTGGGAATTGGGGTAGGCAGTATTGGATTCCATTGATTATTCTACCACCAAGTTGTTAGGATACAGTTTCTTTTTTTATAAACTGGCAGTAAGTAAGTAAGCCTTTCAGTTGGCAAGGTTTTTTTTTTTCCTCTTTTGTCAGTTATTTCTTAACTGGAATTAGAAGAAACCTCTCTTTAATTATTACCAGTAAAGGTTAATGTAAAAACAAAATGATCATTTAGCCTGTTTTCATAATCTGTGTGATTATATTCTCATACAGCTGTTCTCCATTGTTAGCGTGTGGTTGCGCTGGGAAATTTTCACTTCTGGTCACAGCTTATTACTGAAAACTATTATAATAAGAGAAATGACCTTAAGATATATACTTGTATTATCACTGAGGTGTTCTCTGACAAGTAGTTCTTCCTCTAAATGAGCATACTTCATTTGTCATTTGTTTAAAATCACTGCAGAATGAAAACTAGTATCTTGAAGCCTAAGGACATCATACCTCTTTCCCACACTGGAATTATAAAGAAGAATGTACTAAGCATTACTTATTCTCTCTTTCCTTTTAGATTCCTCTTAATCCTTTGGTGACAATTCTGTGACACAGGATGGCCACAAATAAGCCCAAGGGTCAGAATTCTTTGGCCTTACACAAAGTCATCATGGTGGGCAGTGGTGGTGTGGGCAAGTCTGCTCTGACTCTGCAGTTCATGTATGATGAGGTAAGTGCTGATTTTATAATGGATATCAAAGTTTGGGCTTTCAAAGAGTATTTCTCTAGATTAATTCTGGTGATATTTTGGATGGATTTCTTGAATCTCGAAAGGAGTCGTCTTTTTTTCCATTTTAAGAAATTGAGAGCTAACGTTTATATACAACTCGATTTAACAAGTCAAAAGCTCAAGGTTTGTAAAAACCTTAACATTTTAAAATACAAAACAAAACTGGAAACTACCTATTTTTGAGCAATCTAACTTTGGCTTTTTTAATTTTAGTGTTCTAATGGCAATTCTCACCTTGAATTAATAAAAGTGGAGGATATTGTACCTCACTGAGATTTGAGGTTAACACACATAAAGGTCCTTTAATAACCTCAGTGAAAAAGTTATTTGTTGTATATTTGGCATGACACTACATTAAATGATAAACGATGTATCCCTAAAATATAATTATTAGACAGGTTAACAGATTTGTGTGTATGTATTTATATCAGACTTTGTCCACCTAGATTCTTTACCTAGAGGACTGTTATCAAGTCTAAATGATTTAAAAGATAGTAATCTTATTAAGCATTTATCCTCATTTCTTCCTTCCAGTAGAAGCAAGGTTTTGTGGTTACTCTTTCTTACTTAATTCTCATAAGTCCTGCATGGTAGGTGGGGGTATCCCCATTTTACAGATGAGAAAAAACCTCAGAGGGTTTTTTCTGCTTAAAGCTGGTCTCTTGACAAAAAAATCTTGCAAATTTTTACCATTCCATATCTCCTTCTATTGCCTGCCTATCAGCACTTTTTTCACACACACAAAACTCAAATCCATCAGTTGTCCTGTTTGTTGGCGACTTTAATAAAAATTTTAGAAAGGAGGGATTGAAATAGTACTTTAAATGAAATTGCTAATTTATCTGTCCAATTCTGTTCCTCATACTATTCATTTTAATAGTTACTCTTCTATTTTTTTTTTTTATCAAAGTCTACAAACTATTTACTTTTGTCAGTAAGAATAATGGGTTCCTTTTTCAAAAATAAAAGTTTATAAAACATTTTCCACAAAGTAATTATTCTAGTTTCTTAGTTTTACCATTTCCTTTTTCTTTTTTTTCTCATTGCCATCTTTTTTTAAATTTCAAATTTTATTTTTCAGTTATACTGAATATTATATTAGTTTCAGGTGTACACCATAGTAATTAAACATTTATATAACTTATGAAATGATCACCCCAATAAGTCTAGTACGCATCAGACACTATACATAGTTATTATAATATTACTATTATCCCTTGCTGTACTTTACATCCCTGTGGCTGTTTTAATAACTGGCAATTTGTACTTCTTAATCCTGTTTACCTTTTCACCTGTCCCCCAGGCCCCGTCCTGTCTAGAGACCATCAGTTTGTTCTCTCTGTCTATGAGTTTGTTTCTGTATTGTTTCTTTGTTTATTTTGTTGTTTAGATTCCACATAAGGGAAATTATATGGTGTTTGTCCTTCTCTTCGAACTTATTTCTCTTAGCATAATACCCTCTGGGTCTATCTGTGTTGTCACAAATGGCAAGATTTCATTCTTTTTTATAGCTAATATTTTATTGTGTATATATGCCACATCTTTATTCATTCATCAATCGGTGGACACCTAGGCTGTTTCCATATCTTGGCAATTGGAAATATTGCTGAGTGAGCATGGGGGTACAAATGTCTCTATTTGAATTAGGGTTTTGTATCTCTACAGATGAATACCCAGAAATAGAATTGATGAGTCAGATAGTTGTTCTGTTTTTAATTTTTTGAGGAACCTTCCTACTGTTTTCCACAGGGGCTGCACCAATTGACAGCTCTCCCAGCAGTGCACGAGGGTTCTCTCTTCTCCACATCCTCGCCACCACTTGTTGTTTGTTGATTTATTGATGATAGCCATTCTGACAGGTGTGAGATGATATCTCATTGTGGTTTTAATTTGCATTTCCCTGATTATTATTGATGTTAAGCATCTTTTCATATGTCTGTTGACCATCCTTATGTACCCTTTGGAGAAACGTCTATTTAGGTCCTCTGCCCATTTTTAAATTTGATTGTTTGGGGTTTTTTTGGTATTAAGTTGTATTAGTTCCTTATGTATTTTGGATATTACCACTCCTTATTAGATATATCATTAGTGAATATCTTCTTCCATTCAGTAGGTTGTCTTTTCATTTTGTTGATGGTTTCCTTTGCTGTGCGAAAACTTTTTATTTGATATAATCCCATTTATTCATTTTTTCTTTTGTTTTCCTTGCCTGGGCGAACATATCCCAAAAGAATATTGCTAAGAGGGATGTCAAAGAGTTTACCACCTATGTTTTCTTCTAGGAGTTTTATGGTTTTAGATTTTATATTTAGTCTTTAATTCATTTGAATTTATTTTTGTATATGGTATAAAAGAGCGGTCTGGATTCAGTTTTTTACATGTATCTGTTCAGTTTTCTCAGCACCATTTATTGAAGACACTGTTTTTATTCCATTGTATACTCTTTCTTGCCTCCTTTGTCATGGTTTTATTTCTGGGCTCTCTATTCTGTTCCATTGATTTACATATCTGTTTTTATGCCAGTACTATCTTGGTTTGATTGTTACAGGCTTGTAGCGTAGTTTGATATCATGTAGCATGATACTTCCAACTTTATTCTTCTTTCTCAAGATTACTTTGGCTGTTTGGGGTCTTTTGTGGTTCCATATAAATTTTAGGGTTATATGTTCTAGGTCTGTGAAATGTGTCATTGGTATTTTGATAGGGATTGCGTTGACTCTATAGATTCCTTTGGGTTTTATGGACATTTTAACGATGTTAATTTTTCCTATCCATGAGCATGACATATTCATCTATTTGTGTCTATCTTCTCAAGAGTTTTCCAAATACAGATCTTTACCTCAATTAAATTTATTCCTAGCATTTTATTTATTTTCATGCATTTGTAAATTGGATTATCTTCTTAATTTCTCTTTCTGATAGTTTATTATTGTATAAAAATGCAACCTATTTTGAATATTAGTTTTTTATCCTGCTACTCTACTGAATTTATCAGTCATGATAGTTTTTTGGTTGAATCTTTAGGATTCTCTCTATATAGCATCATGTCATCTGCAAAAAATGACAGTTTTATTCCTTCCTTGCCTTTTATTTTTTGTATGTTTCCTGTGGCTAGAATTTCCAATATTATGTTGAGTGAAAGTGGATAACTTTGTCTTGTTCCTGACCTTAAAAAAGCATTGAGCTTTTTATCACTGAGTATATTATGTTAGCTGTGGGTTTGTCATATATGGCCTTTATTATATTGAGGTATGTTCTCTCCATCCCCACATTGCTAAGAGTTTATAATAAATGGATGCTGAATTTTGTGAAATGCTTTTTCTGCATCTATTGATAGGATCTTAGGATTTTTATTTTTCATTTTGTTTTATGTGGATTAGCATGGTAATAGATTTGCAGATATTGAACCAACCTTGTATCCCAGAAATAAATCCCACTTGAACATGGTGTATGATCTTTTTAATGTATTACTGACTTCGGCTTGCTGATATTTCGTTGAGGATTTTGTGTATCTATGCTCATCAAGGATATCGGCCTATAATTTTTTTTGTTTCGTAATGTCTTTGTTTGGTTTTGGTATCAGGGTACTGGTGGCTTTGTAAAATGAACTTGGGAGCCTTCCCTCCTCTTCAGTTTTTTGAAGTAGTGTGAGAAAGATAGGTGTTAATTCTTCTTTTAATGTTTGGTAAAATTCACCTGTGAACGCATCTGGCCCAGACTTTTATTTGTTGGGAGTTTTTTTTTATTACTGATTCGATTTTATTAGTAGTTATTGGTCTTTTCAGAATTTCTATTTCTTCTTGATTCAGTCTTGGAAGATTATATGTTCCTAGGAATATATCCATTCCTTCTGGGTTGTCTAATGCGTTGGCATATAATTGTTAATAGTATTTTCTTATAATCTTTTGTATTTCTGTGGTGTCAGTTGTCACTTTTCCTCTTCCATTTCTGATTTTATTTGAGCCCTCTTTTTTTGTCCTAATAAGTCTGGTTAAAGGTCTATCACTTTTGTTTATCTTTTCAAATAACCAGCTCTTGGTTTTATTGATCATTTTTATTGCTTTTTTGGACTCTTTTATTTTCACTCTAATCTTTATGATTTTCTTCCTTCTACTCTGAGCTTTATTCCTCCTTTTCTAGTTCTTGTAGGTGTAAGTTTAGATTATTTGTTAGATATTTTTCTTATTCTTTTTTTTTATTTTTATTTTTCAATTAGAGTTAACATTTAGCATTATTTTATATTAGTTTCAGGTGTATAGGATAGTGGTTAGACATTCTTGTTGCTTGAGGTAGGCCTATATTGCTGTGAATTTACCTCTTAGAACTGTTTTGGCTGTAATACACACACACACACATACACACACACCATATTGGATCGTTGTGTTTTCATTTTCATTTATTTCAAGGTACCTTTTGATTTATTCCTTGATCTCGATCTTAACTCATTCATTGTTTAGTATCATGTTATTTCACCACCACGTGTTTGTGCGTTTTTTTTTTTGTTTTTTTTTTTTTGTTTTTCAGTTTTTTTTCTCCTGCTGTTTTTGGGTAAAATGCTCTAAAAATATCAATTATATATGTCTGGTCTGATGTGTCATTTAAGGACGCTGTTTCTTTGTGGGTTTTCTGTATGAATGATCTAACCATTGTTGTCAATGGGGTATTAAAGTCCCCTATTGTTGTCTGACTGTGATTTCTCCCTTTATATCTGTCAATACTTGCTTCACATATTTAGATGCTCTTATGGTGGGTACATAGATGTTTACAAGAGTTCACCCTCTTGTTTGAGTGATCCTTTTATCATAATGAAAAGCCCTTCTTTGTCTCCTTTTACAGCCTTTGTTTTAAAGTCTGTTTTGTCAAAGTATTGCTACCTCAGCTTTTTTTTTCCATTTTCATGAAATATCTTTTCCATCTCTTTACTTTGAGTCTATGTGTGTCTTTTGATCTGAAATGGATTTTTTGTAGGCAGCATATGTAAGGGTCTTGTTTTCTTATTTATTCAGCCACCCGACGTTTTTTGTTTGGAGCATTTCGTCCATTTACATTTAAAGTAATTATTGGTAGGTATGTAGTTATTTTGTAACATTAGTTTCTTCTTGTCTAGGAAGCTTTTTTTCACTGCTTTGAATCTGAATGACAGCCTTCCTTGGTAGACTAATCCTGGTTGTAGTTCCTTACTTTTCATCACATTGACTATTTCATGCCAATCCTTTCTGGCTTGCAAAGTTTCTTTTGAGAAGTCAGCTGACACTCTTAGGAGAGCTTCCATGTAGGTAACTAACTGCTTTTTCTCTTGCTGTTTTTAAGATTCTCTCTTTGTCTTTAACCTTTGGCATTTTAATTATGATGTGTCTTAGTTTGGGCCTCCTTGGGTTCATCTTGTTTGGGACTCTGTACTTCATGGCCTTGTATGTCTATTTCCTTCACCATGTTAGGGAAGTTTTCAGTTATTATTTCCTCTAATAGATTCTTAATCCCTTACTTTCTCTCTTCTCCTTCTGGTACCCCTATGATGCGAATGTTAGTACACTTGATATTGTCCCAGAGGCCCATTAAACTATTCTCATTTTCTTTAATTCTATTTTCTTTTTGCTGTTCTGATCAGGTGTTTTCCACTACTTTGTCTTTCCTATCACTGATTTGATTTCCTGCTTCATCTAATCTGCTATTGATTTCATCAAATATATTCTTCATTTCAATTATATATTCATTTTTGACTGGTTCTTTTTTATGTTTCGTATCTCCATTTTTATGTTTCCTATCTTTGTTGATGCTGAACATTCTTATAACCAGTGTTTTGAACTCTGTATCATGGTAGACTGCTTGTCTCCATTCCATTTAGTTCTCTTACTGGAGTTTTGTCCTATTTTTCATTTTGGACAAGTTTATCTCCTAATTTTGGCTGACTTCCTGTATTTGTCTATTTGTTAGTGGATCTACTACTTCTTGACAGAGTGGCCTTATGTAGAAGATGTTCTGTGGCATCCAGTGGCACAATCTCCCTGGTCACCTTACCTGGGTCCTTCAGGGGTGTCCCACGTGTAGGTTATTTATGCCTCCCTATTGTAGTAGGGGCTCAGTTGCTGTTGGCTCATTAGCAGGTGTGGTTGACTCTCAGGCAGACTGGCTGTGAGGACTGGCCATGACTACAGCAGTTGTTGTGCTGTTGTGCAGGACCTGTCCGCATGAAATGGAATCACTTTAACATGGCTCTAGTGTCGACTGAGTTCACCCTTCAGGTGTATCTTTTGTGGAGGTGATTGGGTGGTGCTCTGGTATGATCTAAAGCTGGTCGCTGAGTGTATTCGGTCTCAGGCCTCCTGGAAAGAGATTTGGTGCAGACCAAGGTCAGCCATCGCTAGTGCTGTGCCCAGGGCCTCTTGGTAGATTCTACAAAGTGATCTGTAGTTAGTTGCTTCTGGTGCTGGTTTTGGAGGTCTTAGGAGAGGCTACACTGTGAATTGAGGCTGGATGCCACTTGTTTCAGTCTTAGGACCCTTTGGTGGGCACCACAGTGCAAGCTGAAGCCAGCCACCACTTGTGCCAGGTTTGTGACCACTTAATTGAAAGTATTTTCCAGGCCAAGACTGGCCACTGCTATGCCAGGCTTGGGGCCATTTAGCATAAGCTACAAGGTATGCCAAGGTCAGCTGCTGCTTGTTTGTCATTTGTGGATCTTTGAGAGATTTTGAGATAGTCTGCAGCACGATTTGAGGCAGGCTGCTTGTGCAGGTAAGCTGTTGGAAGAGGCTGGGGCCAAGCAAGTCAGTTGGGTGAGTAGGTTCTCAGGGAATCACCAGGGTGGGGTGAGCAGTGTCAGTCAACTTATTGGAGAGCTCAGATTTGTCACCTGCCAGCACTTCCGTCCCTGGAGAGTTGTTCTGACCCCAGTCCCTCCAGCCCTCATCTTGATGTTAGGCAATTTAGTTCCTCCGTATATGTCCCTGGTGCTTTTCAAGCTGCTGCCCCAGTGCTGGAGCTTAGAGTAAGTGAGTTTGTGAGTAAGTCTTTGTGCAGGCCCCTTAAGAGGTTCACCTCTGTCTTTAGCAGACCCCTGTCCTTCTCATAACACAATCCCCACTGGTCTTCACAGCCAGATGGGGACTTCCAGGCAGTGGTGCCCTGGTGTGGGGAACCCGGTGTGAGGCTAGGGCCTCTTGCTCCTCAGGGGGAACTTCCACAGCCAAGATATCCCACCCGTTTCTTAATGGCCACACCATGGTTATGGGTCAGGCTCTATTGGTGTCTCTGCCCCACTACCAGTCTTAAAGTGGCAGCTTCTTTGTATCCTTAGTTATAGGAATTGTGTTCAGGCAGTCTTCAGGTGGTTCTCAGTGATGGTTGTTCCATAATTTAATTGTAATTTTCATGTAGTCATGGGATGAAGCGAACACAGCATTTACCTTCTCCACCATCCTGACCAGAACCTAGTTACTCTTCTTTCAAACTAATCCTTAAATCAGTTTCCTTCTTGACAGTAAGGTCAAAAGTAAGAATATTCACATGCCTGACATTTGATGAATGTTTAGGCCTTCATTTATTATTCATTAACATTCAATATTTAATATTCATAATATCTGATATATTTGAATATTTTTATTCATTAAAGTATTCATAAGTGTTTCTAAATATTTAATGTTTGCAAAATATTAGCATGTAAATGTGATAGAATGTTCTATAGCTTTCATAGTTATAAAAACACTGTTCTTTTTTTTAAAATAATTATTTATTGTGTCTGCCATGTACCAGGCACTATTGTAAGCTTTAGAGATACAGCAATGAGTTGAACTGTCAGGGTCCCTGCTTCCAGGGAGGTTAAAATTCTAGCAGAAAAATATAGACATTGAGCAAATATATAAGGAAATATTAGAAATTCAAAATATTTACAGGAACTAATAAAAACCTACAAAAGTATGTGTATATATACACAAATGCTAACAATAATACACTGATCAAAATATCTAGGTGACATGAGGTTAAAAATAGGAGCAAGAATGTAAAGTTGTACTATTTTAAATTCAGAAGTTTGAGGAGAAATCTCAAAGTTCAAGACTTGACATTCAGCTGAATAGTATAAGCCACTACATTGACTTGGTTCATTTTGGAGAAAGAAAAGATTTAATGTTACTTTCAATGCTTACCTAAACATGGACTTATTTTCAAGTTATTCCCACAATTCTGGCATGAAATTTTATATTTAGAGTCACATAGAAAAGAAGTTCTTACACATTTGATAAAATACAGGCATACCTTGTTTTGTCGCGCCCAGTTTTATTGCACTTCACAGGTGTTGTGTTTTTTTACAAATTGAAGCTGAGACCCTCCACCAGCAAAAAGATTACCACTCGCTTTATTGCGATACTTGCTTTATTGTGATGGTCTGGAACCAAACCCACAATATCTCCGAGGTATGCCTGTATATATATAATAGCTTTTGCAGGTATAGTGTTTTAAGAAAGAAAAAAAGGACATATTTCAAGCTGTAAACAGCCTAGATAGAGCTGATGCTTCAACTCTCACTTTTTGCAAATGAAACCACCAAATTGTCTAAAATGAAATTTTCAATTAACGTCTTTTTTACCATTGGGGAAAACTGAGCGAAGGGTACAGAACCTCTCTGTACTATTTTGGCAACTTCATGTGAATCTGTATTTTAAAATAAGTTTTGAAAAGGAAAGATAATTTAAAAAATTGATATGCTTTTCATCTTTTCTAGTTTGTAGAGGACTATGAGCCTACTAAAGCAGACAGCTATCGGAAGAAGGTGGTGCTGGATGGGGAGGAAGTGCAGATCGATATCTTGGATACAGCTGGGCAAGAGGACTACGCCGCAATTAGAGATAACTACTTCCGGAGTGGGGAGGGTTTCCTCTGTGTCTTCTCTATTACAGAAATGGAATCCTTTGCAGCCACAGCTGACTTCAGGTATGTCAGAGAGTAATGTCATTGCTGACTTATTGTATAATAATTTCTTCCTCAGAAACAAGTGGATAACTAGAGGTTCTTACTTTCACTCTGTATCTAATTGTGTCTGTTCTCTTTTTGATATCAGTATGTGACTCTGACGCTGTGTACTTATATTCAGATGATATCCCAATGCCATCTGCATTGAAACTTAAGTTTGTGACAGCCTCAGTACCCAAAATGTCTTTAGCATTACAGAAGTATTTCTCTTTGGAGTACAATACTACTACTGCCATAATAGTTGACACTCGGATCACATACTGATGCACTGACCCAGGTCTTCAATCTTTCTCTATTATTTACTAGTTCTCAGCCCCTGTATAATTCAGCAGGCACATTACCATCCTCCTCACAATATAAATGCCCTGATAGCATGAACTGAATTTTACAATAGAAATAATAATACCATAGATTGGCACACTATGTTATGTTAGACAATATTTTTTATATCATATACTGTTTGCTTAATCAGAATCTGTCATATATTTCATTTGGTGGGTGATGGGGAAGGTTTGGTGAAGGGGAGAGGGGTTTTCTCTATACCTAAGAGAAATGTGGCATAAATAAGTTCCTGAATTAGTCCTGTAAATACCACATGCATAATCAAAAGTATTCTTTAATTGTATATTTTATTTCCATGTTAAGTGTCTGCTCTGGTATGGGGAACACAAAAGAAGCATGTAGTTTGTCCTGTTTTCAAGATTCACATAGCCTAGTTAAATAAGGCATGAAACCAAGAACCAGTTAGGGACAATTATTACTGATTATTATGAGACCATAGACAGTGATTATTACAGCAGATCCAGGAGAAGAGAGAAGCTGGAGACCTTCATGAAATAGGTGACCCTGAAAGATAAGAAGGATTTCCACAGACGAGGAAAGAAGTCATTTCAGGTGGTTGAACAAAATCCTGAACCTAGGCTTATACCTAGTATTCCTCTTTGTGTACGCTTGGAAGTCTCTGTAACTTAAAGGATTCTAAAAGAACATTCTTTGGGGGGGCGGGGGAGCGGGGACGCATGTCGCTGAGAACCTTTTAAAATATAGATTTATTTGCAAAATTAAGTTCGTTAGTCTTTATAAGGAAAGAGTTTTGTATGTGATAAAGTTCAAAGGGTTGCAGGTTTTGGAAACTTGTAATCCTGGAAGATAAATTGAAAGGTACATAAATGTTAGTGCTTATTCATTCATTTAGCAAATATTTGAGTGCATATTATGTAGCAGGTCCTCTTCTAGGTAACAGTAAATTTTATCACCATAGTCACCAAAGCCGAAGTGGTTTCTCAAGGGAATAAGATATTTTTATGCCAAGTAGAATCTTGGGCTGTTGCTGTTACAGTGAATCATTCATTACTCTTCTGTTGTATCTCCAGTGTGTTGACCTTCCCACAAAGAACAATGTCTTAATGACCGACCAGTGATAGGGAAGGGATTTTTGAGACAGTCAGCCATCCACATGGTTTAACCTGCAAAGTACAGCACAGATGCCAGCTACTCTCTTCAGCCTTCTGGGTCCTCCCACCACCAAGGCAGAATCCATTGTTTCCTCATCCCTGAATGCAATGTGCTTGCCCCAGCTCCAGTCAAACTTTTGTACTGAGCTTGATTGATTTATATGTGTTTTTCCTGACAAGGTAAAAGTTCTTGAGTGCAGAATCCATTTATTAATTTATCTTAGTGTTCCTTGTACCCAGATTTGGCACAGTTGATAGCATATAACATGTAATGCTAAGTAAACATTTGATAGAACTGTTAGAAAAGTCTATCATTTTTGATTCTCACTTTCCTTATGTCAAAAATGAAGAAGCTGGACCAGTTTATAAAGGTACTTTTCCTACTCTAAAATTCTGTAATAACCTCTCAAACTATTTAGAGGGAGCATCACATTAAGCAAATGTGTATGGAGGTTATAGACATAGCATTACTTTTCTCTGACATCGAGCTCATTAACTCTAAAGAGTATTGCCTTCTCACCCCTGAACCCAGTGGGTCCAAATTTTCCACAGCCATGTTTCTGATAGCATTAATCATTATAATTTCAATATGGATTTTCCTTAAGCACCTGACTATATATAAAACGACCAGAAGTGCTAGAGTTAGAAAGAAACACTTGAGTCTGTCTCACATTCCTGGCTAGTGAGACTGAGTGGTAAGTCATTCATTATTAACATTTAGTTCAGGCTGTTGATCACAAAGGAAACTGGGTAAGAAAGTAACAGCTATATTTGCTGTTACCAGCACTGGAAAAAGATTGCGATTGGCTAAAGTCCTCTTTGCAAATACATCATATATTTAATAGCAGTAATGGTGAGTATTAACATGCTTTTGGTAAGAAATCATGGTGAATGTTAGGAAATGTCACCCTCTCCATCTATGTCTTCCTCCCAAAATCCCATGACCCCAGTTTAATCATGAGAAAAACATGAGACAAATCCCAATTGAGAGATTTTTCTACAGATTATTTGACCAGCACTCCTCAAAAACTGTCAAGGTCATCAAAAACAAAGAAAGTCTGAGAACTGTCATAGCCAAGTGGAATCTGAGGAGATGTGATGACTAAATGTCATGTATCCTGGATGGGATCATGGGAAGCATTTAAGGGGAAGTTACATTTGATACTTTACACTTTAATTTTGTACTTTATGTGCCATATTTATACTGTCTTCCTTGGTGTATGAAACTCAAACAGTTGGTGGTAGAATAAGGAAAAATAGCTGCTTATTTCCCACCATGCAATAAATGAGTTAATTGTTATTATATACAAACATAAATAAATGCTAATTACAGATGGTATTTATTTTAACATATAGAGGTAATATTAATGTTTCTTTCTTATTTCTTTTATCCAGGGAGCAGATTTTGAGAGTAAAAGAAGATGAGAATGTTCCATTTCTGCTGGTTGGTAACAAATCAGATTTAGAAGATAAAAGGCAGGTTTCTGTAGAAGAGGCGAAAACCAGAGCCGATCAGTGGAATGTTAATTATGTGGAAACATCTGCTAAAACTCGTGCTAATGTTGACAAGGTAAAGGTGGCTCTCTTTACTCCTAGTTGTGAAAAATAGGTTGATTTGCTTTAACTTGGCTTCATTTTTTCCAAAAATTCTGAGACTTTCAAATAGTGATTTAGTATGTATTGATTTTTATCAGCCCTGAATGCTCAAGTTAAGTGTTAGGAATTTCTTACTTCACTTTGTCCTTTGGTTTCCAAGAGACATCAAAACATTAGACATTGAAGCTAAATGTCCTGGGGTTTTTTTGTTGTTATGTTTTGTTTTAAGCATTGACAGGATTCCTGACCTGAATCCCTGACCCCTCCTCCCCCACTGTTTTTCCTTATCTGGCTGGATAGCTTAGAAGGAATTGTGGAAGTCCTCAGAACTGACACCTGCCTGGCCCCATTTATTTCTCAAAAGTGAAGATGCCTCTCAAAATGAAGGACCCCTGGATTAGAAGATTTTTAAATCTCTGTTAGTTTAACTAACTGCACTCCCCACCCTCAGCCTCTTTTTCCCCTGCGTGGAAAGGGAAACTCTCTACTCATTTTCCTTACCTGCCCACTTTGTTTAGATTGGCCCTTCCTGGAGACCAGGTGAGGAACCACCCTTACCTCGTGACTAGGAGCCTTACCAGGTGCATTTTATCCTGCTGCTGGAGACCATCTTCACTATTTAGGAAGACTGCTTATTGGGCTGAGGCAGCACAGGTGGGGCCTTTCTCAGCCCTCAACCATCTAGGCCCTACTAAATGCCTTTGAAACTCTAACTGAAAAATTGCCTGCAAAGCTTGATAAATACAGATTCCTGAGTCTTCTCCCCCATCCCTTCACGCTGAGATTTTAATTCATCTGATCTGCGGTGGTGGAACCTGAGAATTTGCATATTTGTTATCTCCCAGGTGGTGCAGACTTCGGCTGGTGAACCACACTGAGTAACAACACTGCTCTGGGTATCCCCAAGTTTTAATGAACTGATCTGCTTGTGTATGTGGATTCATAACCCAGATCCAGAAATTATTAGGTTAAAAATAAGAGATTTTTTTCTGTTCATTTACTGTAGGTCTTAGGACTGTCATTACTGTCTTAAGCTGAATAGCTTTTTTAGTCACGTGATCAGATTCCTATAAGTCGAAAATATCTGTACAAAATGAATGCTACAAGATTTCTACTCAGTATACGTTTTCTCTAAAGTTATGGCAAATGTTTTTAAAGTGTTAATGAAGATATAAGTTTTAAGGTTCAGCGCCTTTGAGGTTTTGAAAGGCAACATTGAACATTATCATAGCATATGTATACTTTGTTTCTGCCTAACTGATATATGGAACTAAGGGGAGTCGGAAACAGAGATGAATAGTAACTGTACAAGTTATAAAACTGTAGTTCTAACAGTCCTTGTGGTGTTACTTGTTGGCATCAGAGACCCTTGAAAAGTATGATGGTGTTCATTATCAGAGCTCTCACAGGACAGTAAGATAAAAACCCAACTACCCAATGGAAAAATAGCCAAAAACATAAACAGGCATATTACAGAAAAGATTTGCAGATGACTTTCAAACTTGGAAAGAGGTTTAGTCTCTCTTTAAAAAAGGGCAGTTTAAAAATACATTTTTTTTTACCTGTCACATTGGGGAAAAAAGCAACAGTTTGATAATACACTGTTAACAAGAGGATAGGAAAACAGTAACTCTCATGTGTTTGTGGAAGGGCAATTTGGCTATCATCTATCAAAATATGACCCCAACAATTTGAGTTCTAAAAATTTATTGTACAGATAAAATCACATATCCACACATAAATGTATGTTTACTGGTAGTAATCGAAGCATTATTTGTAGCAGCCAAAGACAAAATATCCAAGTTTCAATGGTGGACTGTGTCTATATGGTGTGTCTATATAATAGAGGACTATATGACCATTTAAAAGAAATGGAAGGTAGACCTAAATGTGCTGATATGGAATAATCTTCAACATAAAGTAAATGAAAAAAGCAAAGTGTAGAACAGTGTCCATAGTTTGCTGCCATCTGTGTTTTAAATATTCCCTCATACACACATGTGCATGCTCACACACGCGTATGTATACATCAGAGGGATATGTAAGAATCTAGTACCTGTGGTTACCAGAGAACTATCACAGTAAATACCCCTTTTGACTTTTCACTTTAAATACCCCTTTGGACTTCTTTGTTTGATTTTTTGTTTGTTTGTTTGTTTGTTTTGCTGTATGCATGTATTACTTTTCAAAAGAGAAAAGTTAAAGTTATAAGGCTATTTTAGTTACTGTGGCTATATAACAAAATATACCCCAAAAACTTAATAGGTGAAACAATTTATTATGCTCATGGAATCTGTGAGCCAAGTATTTAGACAATACACAGTGGAAGTGGCTTGTCTTTGCTCCACAGTGTCTGGTGCCTCATCTGAAAAGCTTGAAGTCTGGGGACTGGAAGCATCTAAACTTTCATTTTAAAGACTTGTTTACTCATGTCTGGTTGAGCTAGTCGATGCTGGCTGTTGTTCAGGGATACCTCAGTTCCTCCCCATGTGACCTTTTCCATGTGTGCTAGTTTAGGCTTTCTCTACAGCAGAGTGGCAGTGCTCTAGGGGCAAGTGTCATAAGTGAATTATAACCAGGTAGAAAACATATCACCTTTTATGATCTAGCCTCAAAAGTTTCACAGCATTATTTCTGCCTCATTCCATTGGTCAAGGTAGTCACAGAGTCCCACTCAGGTTCAGGAGGAAGGGGAATAAACACCTCTTGATAGAGAGTGGCAAGATTCTGGAAAAGCACATAAGAAGTATTGCTGCGGCCAGTTTTGGGAAATAGAATCTGCAATCAGTGGTCACCTCTCCAAAGGAGAATGACATTAAAGGAGGCCACTTATAAACTGAGGTACAAGTTCATGCTGACACTAATTTCATGTACTGCTACAATCTGAAGAATGGCTATCAGATAAAGTACCCCAGGGGCTAAATAAAAGTAACTTGCACTATTCAGTTACTAGAATTAAATTATATTTGGGGTTTTTTGTTTGTTTGTTTTTGCTAAGGATATAATGTAATAGTTATAAGAGCTAGTGTTTATTAATGCTTACAAGAGCCAGGCACTGTGGCAAGCATTAATCATTTCATCTTTAGCCCTAAAAGGCATAAATACTCTTCTCATGCTCACTTTTTAGCTGAGGAAACTGAGGTGTAGAGAGATTACATGCCTGATTCAAGTTCACAGGATTGATAGTGGCACCTGCTGGCTCTGGGAATGGCCAACTCTGGTACCCATGTTCTTTTTTCAGTATTTTACTCAAAACAATGGTTAGTATCTTCCATATTGTTCATTATCCACTACTAGAAGCCTGATACAGATTTTCTGGGGTAGCAAGTGTTAATATTGTATTCTTCTGTTAATATAGGAAAGTATCATGTTTTGTCACAGAAAATAAATACTAGCTCACTACAATATGCCTTATCCTCACCCGGATTCCAAATAAACCGTTGGGTAGACGCTTCAAAGAGGCAGATTTTAAATTTTCCCTGTGAAAAAGCTTCATAACTATCAGTTGTCAAACTAGGGACTAGCCTGTCTCAGGAGGCTGTGCCTGTCACAGAGGAAGTGCCCAGAAGTTAGAGGATCATCTGACAACCTGCCTGTGTTCATCTGATGACTTTGTTAGTATCCTTCTAGCTAAATGCTCTGGCTCTTAATTTTTTTTTCATTGTAAAAGTAATACATGAACACATGCTTATTGTATAAAGAAGAATTTATAATATGGAGGGAAAAGTATAAGGAGGAAAAAATGAGTCACTTTTCACCCAAATTCTACTCCCCTCCCCTCTCCTCCCCTCCCTGTAGGTAACCACTCGAAACGTATATCTTCCCAGACATTTGCCTGCATTTAAAGGCTGGCATACAGAATAAGGGAAAGTTTGTGTTTGCTTGTTTTTCCCCTTTATAAATAGAATTTTTATATTATATAGTGTATAAATATATAGCATGTATATATAATATATATAATATTTCTGTGTATAGATAATTTCTGTGGTTTGCTTTTTAAATTTTACAACAAATAGGTCCTGTAGTTCTTTCCAGGTTATTGCATATAGGTGAACACTTTTTAAAATCTGCAAAGTATTCCATAGTTAGGCTTTTTCATAATTCAGACATAATCCACTGAGTTTTATCTTTGGAGCTATCATCACTTATAGTGCTTTTTTAATTTTTATCTCAAAAATTGGAATGGAAAGATCAGGTTATATTATGTGAACATTTTTACTAAAAGTGTGATTCAGAAAATTTTCCAATTTTCCCAGTATACTTAGAGTAAACAAACTTTAGTTTTGTGCTTTCCTCTCCCTGTACTCCCCAAATGAGTGATCTTAAATATTTATTCTTATATTATTCCCAAAGTTTACTATGATTCTGAGAAGTACCAAGCTCATATTATCTGTTTGCTTTATTTACCCTTTTTTCTTCTTTCTAGGTATTTTTTGATTTAATGAGGGAAATTCGAGCCAGAAAGATGGAAGACAGCAAAGAAAAGAATGGAAAAAAGAAGAGGAAAAGTTTAGCTAAGAGAATCAGAGAAAGATGCTGCATTTTATAATCAAAGCCCAAACTCTTTCTTATCTTGACCATACTAATAAATATAATTTATAGCATTGCCATTGAAGGCTCAATCAATTGACTGAAATTACTTTAACATTTTGGAAATTGTTATGTATCACTAAAAGCATGAATTGGAACTGCACTGAAAGTCAAATTCACTTAAAAAAGAAATTAATGTGGCTTGACCAAGAAGCAAAGTCTACTTATTTCATAATTGCTACATTTATCACAGTCCTGAATGTAACATATGAGCTTGTGTTTTGAGGGCAGTCTTAAACTGTTAAAAAGGTGAGATGGAGGTGGGGGATGGGAGGAAAGGCTACTTCCTCTGGTTTATTATAAAGCTTAAATTTTATATCGTTTTAAAATGTCTTTGTCTTATACTGCCTTTAAAATAACAATTGTGAACATGATAGTCAAACTCTACCACTTCTTTAACCATTGTTTTGCAAAATATAAAAGAAAAGTTATTGGCATGATTGTTGCATATAGTTAAACTGAAAGTAATTCTGTGAACCTGCATTAATTTCCTGGTGATGAACTTAGAAAAGTGATGTAAACTTGTATATGGGAATTTTTGAATATGCCTTAATTTAGAAACTGAAAAATACCTGGTTACATCATTCTGGGTGTGTCCTCACTGGTGCCGTGGGCCCATTGCCCCGTGTGTCCTGGTGAGAGACTATATGCCTAGTATGGAATACAACTTTTGTAAAGAAGGTTCTTAAGAAGTAACTGTCTGCTATGAGTCTGTCCAAATTTAAAACGTGTGCCATACTCTGGTTCTTGAAAGTAAGGTTCCAGAGCTCTTGATTGCTTTTAGTTAACTATACAGTAGTTTAAAATGAAGGATCAGCATGTACTTATAAGATAATTTTGGATTCTGAGGATTCAGTAACAGTTGTTTTAGTGAACCTTCTCTTTAAGATGCTGGTCCCTAGAAATCCCTTTTTGTAACAGTTAAGCATATGTTAAGTTTTTTACCTTTTTGGAGCAGGCACAGGAAAAACAGCAATAGTGCTAATGCATTTTGCACTAGAACACTGGGAAAATATTCATGCTTGCTACTTGTTAATTTTTAAATTTGTACTCATGAGGTTACGGTTTGGCTGCACAGGAGTTATTAATATTTGTAGTCTGTTTGTTTTCATAATGAAGAACGCCATAGCTACATTTTCCTAAAGTTAACATCAAGCAATCAAACCTGAGTATAGTGCAGAAAACATGTTCGGTGTACACAGACCAGACTTAGACCTGTGTTACCATTGCGTGGTGTGCCCAAGGGAAGAACTCTAGCATGCTATTTGGGAACATAATTTCAATGGGAAACGCACCACTGTCAGATTTTTCTTTTCCTTGGAACAGAGCTAAGACAGTTGATTGACAGAGTTTTTCTTTTTGTTCAGTTCTAATTTCAAGAAGTCAGAGATGTGTTCAGGCATTCCAGGTAACAGATGTATACGTAAAGTTAATAAAAATAGGCTTTTTAGAAACTCAACTCTTTAGATATTACATCCAGCTTGTGTTAAATATGTGTCCTTAAAGGGTTTGAGATGTACATCTTTCATTTTGTATTTTTCATAGGCTATGACATGTGCAGAATTAAAGTACCAATGTAATGCTGGCCCTGCGGGCCCAGCGATCTCCATGTATACTCATTGCAGTCTTATTTAACCAGGGGTCTTAACCACTAACATTATGACTTTGCTTTGAGACCTTTCCTCTCCTGGGTACTGAGGTGCTATGAAGCCAACTGACAAAGATGCATCACATGTCTTAGGCTGATGCCACTACCCGATTGGTTTATTTGCAATTTGAGCCATTTAAAGACCAATAAACTTCCTTTTTTTAAAATGTTTTTGGTGTTATTTGATGTTTACGATATGACATTTTTTAATTCTTAACAACGTGGGCATCTTTACCAGAGATAAAGAACAACTAAATCTTTTGAGCTATCGGTTTAGGGACCTCTTTTGTGTAATACCAGATTTCCTACATGACAGTATTATTGCTCAGGTTTAATCAAGAGTGGAGTCATGAAAGTCATAAATGTGTGTGTTACTTTTGGAATATTACTAAACTCTAGAATAAATAGGTGGCAGCTTTATGTTCATTTTCTAATCAGAATGCTCCCCAGAGACTTAATTTCCAAATTGTGGCAGGAGTAACCACCCCATTGCCATTTCGCCAAGCTTCAGGCTATTCTCTTTCACATTTGGGTCTGGTAAGAAATAGTCACCCACAAATAGCCTGTGGGTTAGAAATGATCTGTTCCAATATTGAGCACAGCATTTTAATTTCTTAACTCATGAGCAGTGCTAGAATGAGCACATTTAAGTTATAATTGGCTTAATTTTAACCTCACTATATGGACCCATTTTTAACACCAACAACGGGTGTGATGTTATGTACCACACAAAAGTTAAAGTTCTAGTCTCAAACTGACTCAAAATGTCATGTCTCAAAATTTTGTGACAAGGATAAAAAACTTAAAATTTGGCAACCTTATATTACTACCTTAAAAGTAAAACTATCAGAGTACTTATCAAAAATTCCTGTAAAGCTTTTGAAGTGATCCTTTTTATTTAATCCAGAGTTAGAAGTCTCCTTTAGCAAATTACATTGGAAGTCAGGAGTGACAGATCAATAGAGGTGTTCATTCGTGCCTTTAGTTTTCAATAGATGTTTATGGACTGGCTACTGTAGGAACTGCTGGGAATACAACAGGTGAAAGGCAAACATGAATTAGGGCAGTTAGAGAAATTCACACAGATGAAGGATTTCTGTGTGAACCATGCTTAAGGAGAGGAAGCTGAAGATGAGAGATTAAGTCTAGTTCTTACTATGGGTTAGGCCTCCTATTTCTTACACTTTTCAATCCTAATAATAATGGCAGAAAACTATTCTGTATCAAGATACTATGTATATACATAAAATTAATATTAACCCTATGACGTAGGTGCCATCATTAACCTCTATTTTGCAGATGGAGACAGACAAAGAGCAGTTGAATAACTTGCCCAAAGCCACAAGCTAGTAATTGCTAACTGGAATTGGAAGCAAGTACTTTGGCTCCCAAATCCATGTTCTTTATCACAGTGAAAGGAAAGCAGAGTGGAGTCAAGAATTAATTACTCAACCTGTACTAAGGTGGGAAATGCCCAAGATTTCCCCAAGGCTGGAGCCACTTACTCAATGATTGATTTCAGAAAGCTTACAGAGGTTGCTGTGAAGGGAAAAGAAGCCTCTTGTGCTTCCAGCCTGGTTGCTGAGAGATACTGTGGAGTCAGGCTTTACAGTCCTTGTCCCATAACATCAGTAAAGTGGCAGCATTCCTTTGGCAGGTCAGCAGCTTTCACTCATATTTTTTTCAACTGCAAAATAATTTCCCATTCTCATTTCTTTGCTCCAGATTGGCAAGTGGGCGAGGAGGGAGGTTTGGCCATCTGTATTCTCAATCCCAGAAACTCCCATTTCTGGGGATAGAGATGGGACAGGGGAGCATTTAACATCTGATTAAAAGAAGCTATAAGACCTGTGATAACTTTCACGGCTAAATCTAATAGAAGGGAAAGGTTGCTTTTATCAAAAGCCTCAAGGAAAACAAATAGCTGAAGTGTTTACGTGCTTCCACCACCTAGCAGTTAGAAAATGCTCGTAAAGGCAGTGTTTGAAACAGCCAAAAATATGAGTCAAGGCTTGTTAATGGGAAGGGAAAAGATCAGGTATGAGCTAACTTCCAGGCCTCAGCTGAAAGAGAACTCCTATGTGGAGGAAGTGCAAGGAATTTCAGGCTGCAGGGCCCAAGAGCTGCAACATCACATGCCAACTCTTGTCTGTTGCTTGTTTATGGACTAATCTTTGTAAAGGATGCCGTAGCGCTCCCACATAACACTAGCAGTTACATTTATTGGCACAAGTTCTATGTTTTTACTGCTTTTATTCATGATGTCCCCTGGGCATCACAGGGCCTGGTACACATATTAATGCTCAATAAGTATTTGTTGGAGTGAATGAGGTTGGTGCAGACATAAAACAGCCACAAGGAGGCTTCAGACAAGAAAGAAGAGAGGTTCTATGAACGGTGTAAACAACACAGGAAGTTCTATCGAGGTGTGAAAAAAGTCCTATGAGAATAAAAAGTGGAGAGTCACTAAGTCACTGACATCTATGGAGCAGTGTTATCTAACTTTTAACTATGAAAAAAAGTATAACAATAGAATAATATAATTGACCCTCCATGTACTTTTCATCGTTTCAATAAATATCAACATTTTGCCAATCATTTTCATCTTTTTTCCCAATCATACTTTTTTCTAGAGTATTTTAAAGTAACCCCAAGAAATTATAACCTTTATCCATAAATACTTGTTTCTTTGAACATTTTAAAACAAATACCAACTATTGTATCGTTTCACCTATAAATACTTCAGTATGCACCTTCAATAAGTCAAGATGATTTTTGTTCATAAACATCATACCTAACAAAATAATTTTTAATATCTAATACCCAGTCTATATTCAAATTTCTGCTGTTTTTTCAAAAAAAAAAAAAGGATTTATAGTTAGTTTGTTGGAGTCAAGTCCCAAATATGGTCCACACGTATTTTATTACATGTTCAATTCTTTTATATGTTTTTGTGTTAGAATAATTTTAGATTTACAGAAAAGTTGCAAGCATTCTACAGAGAGTTCCTGTATATCTTTCTCCCAGCTAGTCCTAATTTTGTACACTTGTCACAACTAATAAATTAACATCGGTGCAGTACAATTAGTGAAACTACAGACTTTATTAGAGTTCATCGGTTTTCTCAGAAACTTTTTCTGTTGCACAGTCCAATCCAGAATCCTCATAGAACTTAGTCTTCATGTCTCCTTAGTCTCCTCCAGTCAATGACAGTTCCTAATAGATATGAACTGAAAGCGTGTGGCCTGTGACATAGAAGATGCTCGATAAGTATAAGCTCGCCCTACCTCACTCTACCAGTCTAAATCCCACTCCTGTTCAAGGCCCACCTCAGATATTCCTTTCTCTTTGCAGTTAGTATGCAATTGGGATACAAAACAGTGGGTCGTATATTCATAAGATACGTGGTTGTTGGCCAAGGTGTGGGGAAGCACACATCATGGAGGGCAGTTTGGCAGGATCTATTAAAATATAAAAGCACATACTTTAATATTCACAAAATTCCCCTTTTCTGTATCTCTAAAGCAGCAGTCCCAACCTTTTTGGCACCAGGGACTGATTCTCTTATAAGAATCTAATGCCTGATGATCTGAGGTGGAGCTGAAGCGGTGATGCTAGTGCTGGGGAGCAGCTGCAAATACAGATGAAGCTTCATTCACTGGCCCACCACTCGCCTCCTGCTGTGCAGCCCCCATTCCTAATAGGCCACTGACCTGTACGGGTCCATGGGGTTGGGGACCCCCTGCTCTAAAGAAACAATTGCACGTGTTTCCATAGATGTACAAGGTGGTTCACTGTAGCATTGTTTACTAGGGGAACACTGGGAACAACCCAGATGTCCAGGAACAGAGGAATGCCAAACAAAATGTATCATAGTCATATAATGTATTATTTACTATACAGCAATTTTAAAGAACAGACTAGAGATGTTTACCAGCATAGAGAGATCCTTAAAATATCCTTGAGTCAAAAATATGCATCTTGCACTGTGATATAAACATTTTAACTTTTTTGTAAAACATGTTCATATCACACCACCATATACATTCTATGAATTTGTATATCTTGAGAAAAGCATTTTTTAAGTATCTAGATGGATGTACTTCAAATATATAATAATGGTTACTCCTGAGAGGATGGTTTGGAAAGAATTTGAAGGTTTAAACTTAGCTATCTTATTCTACCATTTTTAAACAAAGAATACGTTCATGTATAATCCATATCATATGTCATCAAGGACATGCAAATTAAAACAGTAAGAAGATACTGCCACACACCTACTAGAATGGCCAAAATTCAGAATACTGACAACATCAAATGCTGATGAGAGTGTGGAGCAGCAAGAATTCTCATTTATTGCTAGTAGGAATTCAAAATAATACAACTACTTTGAAAGACAGTTTAGCAGTTTTTCACAAAACTAAATTATATTCATACCATATGATCTAGCAATGGTGCTCCTCATATTTACCCAAAGAAACTGAAAACATATGTTTATACAAAAAACTACATATGGATGTTTATAGCAACTTTATTCATAATTACCAAAACTTAGAAGCAACCAAGTTGAGAATGGATAGATGAATGGTGTTACATCCAGACAATGGAATATTATTCAGCACTAAAAAGAAATGCACTGTCAAGCCATGAAAAGACATGAAGGAACATTAAATGCATATCACTAAGTGAAAGAACCAATCTGAAAAGGCTATAGACTGTGCAATTCCAACTATTTGACATTCTAGACAAGGCAAAACTATGGAGACAGAAAATGGATCAGTGATTACTAGGGGTTAGAGAGGAAGAAGGAATGATTAGGCAGAGCACAGAGGATTTGTAGGGCAGTGAAACTACTCTCTATAATACTATAATAGTGGATACATGTCATAAATTTGTCCAAACCTATAGAATGTACAACACCAAGAGTGAGCCCTAAGGCAAACTATGGACTCTGAGTGATAATGATGTGTCAGTGTAGGTTCATGAGTTGTAATAAATGTACATTCTAGTGGGAAATGTTCATAATGGAGGAGGCTATGTGTATGTGAAGGCAGAGGGTATATGGGAAATCTCTGTACTCTCAATTTTTCAGTGAACTTAAACCAACTCTGAAAGACAGTTTATTTTTTTTAAGTGTGGGGGACAAAAATTCTTTATTTGCAGATAACAT